TGAATTCAACATATTTCATCTTGAAGTCTGGTTGAGCAGCAAATTTATTTTCAAGTGAGTTAAACATACGTTTAGCTACAGGTGCTGAAAGACCCAATTTCTGAGGGGATTCCTTAAACGGTAAACGACAGATATATCTACCGGTATTGTCACGTGAGTGTGAGTTTAGGAAATGTTTTTCACACTCTGCATCAGTTGGCGAAATTTTCAAAGTTTGAGGCGGTTCTTCAATTGACCAGAATCGTTGAAGAGTAGCATGAAGATCTAAGTCGTTAGTTGAGAGAAGAGTGGATATTCCACTAAATTGAAGCGGTTGATTGGAGGGAGCAATAGGTGCGGCACCAAGCACAACAAAGCCAAAAATTGTTCTCATAATGAAGGGTAAATTTTCTCCCATACTTACAGGCGGCTCAAGTAAGGTTTGAGGGAATAGATCCGCTCCTATCAATAAATCAATGGGACCTGGCAAGTCAAAGGTTGGATCGGCTAGCATGTATTTTTTCAGTTGAGCTTTGATGAAGGGTGAGAGTTGAACTCGAGGCAGGATACTTGTAATCTGATCAAGAATAAGAACAGGATGAGAAGAGGCCAAATTTGACCCACTGAGGGAAGAGATATTCAGATGTGTGAAACCTTTAGGCTTTATGTTAGTCACAGAAATTCCTTTGATATCAGGGACGCCAACAGCAGAGCGTTTTACATTTAATATATTTGCACAACTTTCTGAAATAAGTGTGGTTTGTGAGGCGCTATCCAAAACAGCACGCAAAACGAGACCGTTTCCTTTGTGAGTAGAAACTTTCACTAAAGCGGTTGCAAGCAATACAGTATTATTCTGAGTACGAGCCAAACCCATAAGAGTATTCGATTGATTGACATGATCAGGGGACTTAACATTACTTGTACAGGGATCAGTGTTTGCTTCATTCAATCTTGTTTGAGCCTGGTCAAAATGCAGGAGAGTATGATGTCGTTTTGAGCAAGTAAGACAAGTCTGTTTAGATTTACACATTTTAGGTTTGTGCATACCAAAACAGTTTACACATAAGTCTTTACTCTTAATGAAGTCAAACCTGTCTTTAGTATTAATGCCCCCAAATTTAGGACATTTGAATACTATGTGAGTAGTAGCGGAGCAATAAATACATTTAAGCATTCGATCTTTGTCGTTAGACGACAACAATACAACATTAGCCCTATTAGTTTTAGCCTTATTTGCAAAATTAGATTTGATTGGGTGGTTGCTCTTATTTTCATTTGGTGAAAATGTTTTGTTCGAAACAGAAGCTAACTCCGCAGCCTCCTCTTGTGTACATTTATTTTCCAAGAAATGAATTAATTCATTGATAGTAGGGACCTTTTTTGAGTCATTACGTGAGTGCTCAAACTTAGTGCGGAGAGCAGAATCAAATTTACGCAAAATATGCGTTGTCAAAAGCAAACTTTCATTAGCAATATCATGACCAAGAGTTTTTAAGGCCTGGTAGTTTTCATTGTAAACTGAGAGAAATTTCCGCAATTGTTTGACAGTAGGCCTAGTAAGTTGAGGTAAATCTAAGATATTGTTAGTATGAAGAGTGATTAGCAACCTTGTATTGTGGTATCTATCTATCAGAGATTGCCATGCTATAGCATAGTTCGCAGCGTTAAGAGGCAAAGATTTCACCAAACTCAATGGCTCATCTGAGAGACAGGATAGCAAATATGTAAATTTTTCTATGTTACTGAGTGACTCATTAGTATGAACTGCATTTTCAAATATGCTATGAAACGACATCCACTGGTCTGGTTGACCAGAGAATTTACCTAAATCCAATGAAGGCAATTTTATTGTCGGAGGTACAGCCACAGCTTGTGCTGTTGAACTAGCGGTGGACTGATTCAATTGCTCAGATACTGCAGGTGTAGGTATCAATGTGCTACATAAGCTACTAATATTTATGTACAGGTCAGATATTTTATCTTGAAGTTCGGTTACCTTTTCATCTACGATGTCTTCAGGTAGGGGAGTTGTAGAGAACAACTTATTAACAATTTTTTCAAATTCTGCATGTTTTTGAGAAGCTGCAGTTGAAAGTAACTTTATTCTATTTATTTGTTGATCATTTAAAGATTCAAGGGCTTGAACAGTACTTAATGTTGTAACTTGCTTGTCGATACTACTAAGTCTTTGTTCAATAAGTTGACTTTGCTTGACAAAAGATAAAAATCTCATTTTGGAATAGAATAGTCAAACACACAATAAAACTCAAAAGGTCTGTATAAACTCCACCTTGGAATTTATAAATTAAAGTTATTTCTTCACTAGAAATTTCAATAACTTATTTTGCAAAGTATTTGCAATATAAAATCACACTAAATTATTTACATTTTAATTTTCTTTCCAGAAGTTCCAGAAGTATCATTTAATACAATAATGATCAATCGACAATATTACTGTACAAAGCAATCAGCTGTTTTCGTGATAGATGAGAATCAATAACATTTGTAGATAATCAGAACAAGGAAAGGAAGGATAATTATTTCTGGCTACACAATGAATATCCTGGAATGCAAACAGAATGCTGAGAGGGGAAGGGGGGTATGTCTGCTAGAGATAAGGCTCATGAAATGGCTGAGATATAATCATGAATATTTAAAATTGGACATGAAACTAGACTTTCACTTTTGTGCATGTTTGGAAATGAAATATGAAAAATCATCAAACTTAAATATGTTTGATTTTGAAAATATATAGTACAATGTCCTATGATTTAAAAAAATCAATAAAACAACACTGGCTTATTTAATAAATGTTCACAAATTATAAAAATATGTTTGTGATAAAATAAAAAATGTATTTCACAATGAAATTAAATCTTAACAATTCTTTAAATATTTCCAACGCACTGAGTTTATCCGTCCGGCTCGAAGTACCAAAAATTGGGGGAATTTATGTTAATTTGAAAGCAATGTGGACTGTATTATAGTTATTTTGAATTGGTTACACTAACCTTTTGTTATTAAACTGATGCGTAGACTGGGGGCCCCCTTTGATGAATCCTGAAATGCTATAATGTTGATAAGTTCACTTTTTCACACTATATGATGTTAAAAAACACTTCAATTGTCTTTATAATAAGTTATAAGCCAGCGGTAAATATTTATGTTGGTAAAGAGGTTTATGGTATTTGAAAATGTAGGAGAAAAGGCATGTTAAGTCCTCATAGCAACAGGACTTGCCCAAGAGTCCCACTGCTCTACTGAAGGAAGGAGTTGGTCATGTGATACATATCAATGACCAATCAGAGAGCTAGTCTTGAAACCATGGGATTTGAAGATACTGATGCACTCTATGAGGAAAACATTTAACTATTTGAAATGGTATTTAAATGGAGATTGTGGTGAAATCAGTTACATATTATGTACATATTATTAGAGTGCATTAAAATTAAAAATTAATATAAGAATACTTAGAACAAAACAGTGTATATATTTGACAAGTAATAAAACCACACATACTTCAATGTGTATTATAATCTTCAAAAAGCGTTAAACTCGTATTCAGCTACAAAAACATATTTCCAACAGGGTGAAAATCGTGGCAAATACCTACTCCTTGGACTTGGAGCCTTTTAAGAAAACTTTTTTATAGGAATTTTTATGTTGCTCAAAATCAAGCAATTGTCAAGTTCCGGTGTTAAACGAGTTTTTTTTAACTAACAACAGTCATAATTTTTATGAGTTTAAAAGACTCATCTAAAAGCTTATGTTACTAAATGGAAATATAGATACTCACGCTGATGCTGATGGAAATATATCAAACTGCCCAGGGTTTCTCTCCTTTTCCGTTATAATATGCACGCAAATCCAGATTCAAATGAGTAAATATTTAATTTAAACTATGTCAGTGAATGTGTGTAGCACGCATTTCCTTGAATTGCAGCTTAAAATGTTTACGACAATTATATTATCCAGCTGATCATAATGTAAATTGTAAACAAATAACGGTAACGAAAACTTTAAAAACCACTGGGTGAGAGCCCAAGGGGCTTTTTCAACCAGTAAGACCGTTTAAAACATCTACTCAATGAAATCTTTCCAATGAGCCATAAACTAACAAAATCGGTTGTGGAATCATGGAGGAGTTTTGCCGACAAAAATCGTGCTTGCCTATTTTATATATATATACTCTTAGTGCCTGGGGACCGAACCATAGACTTTCACTACAGGGCTTCTCTAATGTGGAATGTGAAACTTGAAAACAATGAAACTTGAAAAAAAACTGGACCATATGAAAATAGCACTGTGTACAAATTTTAATGAGGGTTGATTCAAGGCAAGCCAATTTTTTTCCTTTTTAAATGGTAAAGTATTTAAAAGTCTGAATCCGTTTTTAGTCTAAAAAGATGGCAGTTCTCAATGGCACTGGCACATTTATTTTACAAAATATCTTGCAATGATAAACAGTGAAAGTGTAATCCAAACAACCAATTAATACATGTAGTATTGGTCTGGATTGGTGATTGATTAATTTGATTTTATTTTTGATTGATTAATTAATTTATTAAGTTTGATTAATTTAGTCAATTAGCAGCAAAATAAATACATTGTAAAAAACCTATAAATCAACTAGTATTTTGAGTAGGTCGAGTCAAATTAATCAATGGTTTTGGTAACCTAATTTGAATAACCATACATATTTTTAGACACCTAAGCAAATCAATTCTCTGGTTCTTCGTGCTGCATTCTTTGGACATATATGTCTTTTATGAGATTTCATGTCTTTAGCTTGCCTGAGAGTGTGTAATGAAAGTGTAAAATGTCACAAATAAGTCTTGAATAAATTACCAAAAGAGTCTAATCCAAAAACTACCTTCCCACAAAAACTACCTTCCCACTTTAATGTTTATCACAAAATGCTAAAAAGGGCTCACACTTATTTGTGAAAGCAACAACAGTAGTGGGTAGTTAAATTAGTGTAAGCTTAAAATGAGTATGGCAGTAGAAGATGTACAAACCTTTGTAAAGTTGGTTAACAATCTCATTAAATAAGTCAGGAATAGAGATGGCCATCAGATCTTCATCACCAAAATGATCAAGAAAGTTTAGAGGCTTTACTGGGGGTCTGGACACCTTCTCACCATCTAAATAAAATCAAACCAAATTTTTTATTAAGCCAGATTAACAATAACACAGACATTGCATTAGCTACACTAATACAAAGCAAACATTTTTTATATTTAGTTAAACAGAGATAGTACTAAAAAAAAAAACCCCCGCCGCAGCAAACCCGCCGACTAAGCGAATTTCCATTTGTCTGAATTGATTTTCAATTAAATCTATTTAAATAACATAAATTTTAGTGAGTACCTAGGGTTGCTGCTACAAGGAAATTAATAAAGTGTGTTTTTTTGGTAAAATATTAATAGCTTTTGGTATAAAATAAATAAATTTGCCAAGTTTGATCAAAATATATCCATAAACAAGCAAACTACAACATTTTACAATATTCTCCATAAGAATAACATGGGAATTTTAAATTTACAATCTTTTGAATTTTCTCCGTTACCAATAACTGTACAAAAACACTTTGATATACTAAATTATTTGTTTTTTTTTAGCTCTTTAAAAAGGGCTAGAGAGAAATCGGGAAATTTTGTGTTTTGAGGGCCAAAAATGAGAAAAAGGACTTGCACCTTTAAACCAAATTTTATCAAAATCGGACAAAAATTACTCAAGTTATCGCGTTCACGGACACATATATATATATAAATCTTTAAATATATATATACATATATAAAAATTTGAACGAATGGTGTTTTTGGCCTCTGGGTATATCAAAATGAAAAAGTAAACCGGTCCCAGGCCTAGGTCTTACCATGCCACATACGGTAATAGCTACTATAGGGAAATTCGCTAAAACAAAATAGAACCCATTGTGGATTTGCTAACTGTAATATTTGGATTTGAAAAGTGTTTTGTCTGAGTAAAAATATATTTTATTTTTTATACGAGTATAATCTTAAAATTAAATTGATTTAATCCAGTCATCAACTATATAATTATATATCTATATTAACCCAGTAACCTAACGCATTTTACCTTGCATGAAATGGGGTAGTAGGTTGCTAAATCCAAATTTTCCACCTCGGCGACCTTCCGGATCACCTCCAAAAAGTTTAAAAATCGGTGGAATTTTGCACTATTTTTACGTTTGTCCGATTTTGACCCTGAAGCATAACTTGTTCATAAAGAACAACTATAACCATTTGTAAAGTACATTAAATTACCTATCATTTAAGACAAAAATGGTTATTACAGGCCTAATAGTTTTCAAGATATGACTTTGCAAACAACGGCAAAAATGTCAAAGTTTTGAATTTTTTTTAAGTTTGGCAAACGTAAGCCGTTGCGTTAACCCTAAAGCATAACCTTCTAACTATTTTTCATTGAAACAACCATAATTACTTTAAAACTACATTAAATTACTCATAATTTAAGACCAAAATGGTGATTATAGGCCTAACACATTGAGAGATGGCCTCTTCAAGGTTCATAAAATCTTCCCTAAATGCTTGTATTTTAAGTTTCAAGCTATTAAGTTTTATAAAAGAACCACAATAAGAAATAAACTATTTTATTTCATCTCAAGAACAGATTGTGTTATAACATTTTTTTATGGAAATAAATCTATTGTATCCATCTACATAAACACACACGTACATTGTTACAATAAATGGTTCTCGGGGATAGAACACAGGCTTGTGACGAACGGTATTTATTTAATTGTATCGCCACGGGAGCAGGTTGGAGATCGGGGATATCCCAACCCCGCGCAGTGGTCAATTCATACTATAAAATCAAAATGGGGAAAGTTACAATACTTAAGTCAAAAACATTAAAAGGTTAGAACATTTTAACAAAAAGATTATTCTCTGCAGGATTGACATTTTGGCAGAGAGAACATCGATTCACAGCCTTCTTTATAAATTAAAAATACATTTTGACTGCTAGGTATCAAATCCCCAAACTGTATTGTTATATGCTAAACAGGTATAAAAGAGCCTATCAAAATAAGTCAAAATCACTACGGATTTGTATTGTTTTTCAGGATGTGTCAGAAAAAATGTCCGCACTAAGTCCCCGCAAATTAAAATTAAATACAGTTGAACTCCGCTAATCCAATCTCGACTAATCCGACTTGTCGCATAATCCAACCGTGTCATCGCCTATCAGTGATGATGATGATGTCATTGTTTATTTCACTAATATTTTGACCACGTAGCTTAGTTCCACAGTCTGAGCAAAGTTGATCCACGTCTTTGGCGATCACGGGAAAATATGTAACATCTTGCAAACTTGATGTGACATCATTGCCATTGCATCAAACTCCTGAATGACTTCTGTGGTAACTAAAACATATTTTGAAGAAAGAAGATAAAATATTTGTTTGAAGGTTAAGTAATTTTAGGTAGACACCCTGAACTAGCACTAACTTCATTCTGTCACTACCCTCACCTATTCGGGAAATATCACTGCATGTCTTCGCGCATCTTTCATTAAAATAATTCAGATTATACAACACTGTTTAAATTTTTATTACTATGGGGGGGGGGGGGGAGCTGGCTCACTCCCTTACTTTTGTCCGTGTTGAATATCTCACAGTCACGGGAATGTTATAGTCTTCCGCAATCGGTGCTAAATCCTAAACAAAATCCGCAGTCTTGGGAAAAATCACCCTCAGGTAATTTGTTCTTTTTACTGTTCTGACCATGGTCTCGGCCCCGTAGGTGACAGACTAGCAGAGTTGTACTGTAAAATGAATAACTTGTTCAACAATCTGTGAAACATCTTGAGAGATTTTGAATAATTGTGAAAGGAGGATTGGATATCCTAGAGATCTTATTAGAGGAGCCAGTGTACATCCTTGTTTAGTTTCAAACCATAAATATCTGGTAGGAGAGTTTTACCCGGTTTGAAGCTGCAGGATCACCTAATTTGTGGGAAAGCAGTTTTATAAAACAACTCGGTTATCTTTACAATTGCAGTTTATTCCTCAACCTATTTAAGTAACATTTTAGTTAAACAACAATATTCACACTGACACATTACACTCTATTAAATTAAAATAATAGTTTTGCATGTCAAATTCAAATTTCTCTAAGGAAAAGTTTTTGCACGATATCATGAATGTCCATCCGCCTTGTCAACTTCAGTGCTTTCATCAGGTTGACCTTCAACTCTTCAGGTAAAGCTTGATTCTCATATTCTTGAAGCATCTGAAACAGTAGATATTCATCTGATAAGTAGTCAATATTAAGACAAGTGGAAAACTTTATATTTGTTTAAAACAATGATACATCTTGTAGCCTGTAAAATATCTGTAACTTCATTTTCTGTCTACTTGATTTTGAAGTCAATAATCTTAGTTTAGTTATTAATGACATGATTAAATTTTACAAACTTTATTCCTCTGAGAATGTTTAAATATTTTGGCTCTAACTACAGAGTGTTTTTTTTACACACAACCCAAATTAAAAGTACTGTGAGACACATTTTAATGACACACAACCACAAATTTTGGTACCAGGTATCCCTTTTTTTTCTTTACTTAATTTCTTAATTAAAAAGGTTATTGGGAATTTATTGTAAATAAGACACAACATGGCGTTTTCAAAATTTCCAAGAGTTAGAATAATATGTTGAAAGAAAATCGTTGGTTTTCAAGAATGGATTGAAATTAAGTTTCCCGGTGTGATTCCAGTACCTAATAAATCACCAATTATTGACATATACAAATTTAAGGAAAATTAATCCGGATTTGAGGATAACTTAAATCTCTAGATTTAAGTGAAAATAAAATCAGGCAAATGGAAATTGGCTTAGTCTGCAGGTTTGCTGCAACGGGCATAATTTTGTTTAATATGGATTCGGTTTTCTTAAATTTGTACAATATTTTATATTTATATTTCTGTAATTTTGTCAATTTCATTACTTCCCTTCCTTCAATTATGTGAACCAACATTATTGGTTTGACTTAACAGTAAATTTTCACAAATTAGGAAACTCTTACTCTATGTTCAGCAAGATAGGTAAATGACATTTTTAAACAATTGGAGATTCTAACCACAAGGTTAATGAAAAATCCAAAACTAGTAATTATCAACAAACAGTAGATATATTGTTTAAATAGCATTGAAAAATTGGGATTGTTTTCAGACCTATTTCGGAACACACAACTCTATGTTTAGTTATTATCTATTCAAAGTCAAATCTAAAACAAAGAAATAGGCTAATCAAAAACCAAAATAAGAGCCTGTTCATTAAAGGTAATTTGTTCTACGTTTTTAACAAACTTTCTTTTCCAAATAAAAATGAATTCAAAAATACTCACCGCTTTTGCTTTAGCTTTCTCGTCAGCAAATCTTGGATCCTGTGATATTTCGTGAATTATGCATTCTTGCACCTTTAAATAACGAGCAAAATCTTGCCAACTACTCCCTATTCTTGAGGAAATTTCAGTTACAACTAGAACATAAATGTGTAGGAAAAATAATTACAGTTGTTGCACAAAATAGTTTAAATCTAATGCCTGGTTCATCCAAGGGACAAATCTACGAACTAGGAAGTCATTAGGTTTTCACTACAATTGTCGCAGCTCAGCGACACACAAGTTTTCACGTTTGATAATTCCAGTGACTAGATTGCAGGCGTGACGTAGATTTTGATAATTATTTTTGAAACATTGATGTTCAATGTTTTTACATCGAGGTAGGTGACCATTGATTGACAATTATCAATGTTTTTCTGTTAATAAATTAGCTTTAGAATAATGAAAATTAGGTAACAATCAGAATCAATTAAACATTATTGTTAGGCGGTTTCATAGGGAAATTTCAAATTATTTGTAGATACCACTCAGTTGTTTATTAACTGATGTTATGTTTTTGGTATTTTTGGACTTGAATACAATTTACCAAAAAATTCTATTTAGTTTTATAATATTCATGTTTTATAACAATATTTTAAAATTAACAACTACTGAAGGAAATTTAATAACATTTTTTATTCAAACCCAAATTCTATTAATTTTATCATTTTAACCATGATGGTTATTTAAATTAGTTCTGAATTTATAGCACTTCATACAAGCAGCAATTGCGCCGAGATATAGTAATTTTGATGCAGCTGGCATTTGTATTTAATTTTTCGTTAAGTCTGAGAACAAAACACAACAGGCATCCACCCACACATTTCCCTTCTTAATTTTGTGGTATTCTGCAAGAAAAGTGTTCCAAAGGCATAACCGAGTCTTCACTCATTCGACAAAAATATGGATAACAAAACTATATGAGAGCTGCAGCAGCAGCACGACAACCAACTGCACATGTGAATGCTCTCATATGGCCACATGTACTGCTACGTCGCAGACCTAGTGATTACCTAGAGGTCGTCTGCGGTAACATGCTTGACACAGCCAGTCCAGGGTTGCCACCATAGTGGAATGAAATAATTCATGCCAGTGGCAACCCTGTGTATGGTTGTATAAACCTATCGTTTGTAGGGATCTTTGTATGTACGCTCACTTGATTCTGTGGTCTGCTACATAGAGGTTTTAGTTTTTAGATGTTACTTTTGGTCTCTAGGGACCTCAAAACAAAAAAGTAAATCGGTAACGGGATCACGTCTTACCATGAGACCTGCAGTAATTAGCGTATTCCATAGCCCATATGGAAAACTTGCTAAAAGGTAACAACTAATATAGGCCTAAAATTCATGATCATGAACCATGGGACGACCCAAAGCATCCTTTTTATAATATTATGAGGTAATACTAGCAACCAGTGTTACTTTGTGACTTAAAAATCTGTGATATTTGATATAGAGTCGATAAAGATAAAAATGAATAATTCTCATCATATCCCTATTATTTGCATTGTGAGCCCTATTATTTTCATTATGTGCGCGATCTCTTTGAGGTATCTTAGAAAAATTACAAATACTAATGAAACATACTATGAAACACAAAATCTAACGTGTCATTTTCTTCTTCAGGCTACATTTTAAACAAATAACTTTACAATATTTTACTTCAATTCCCTAAAATATCAATAAAACATACTATGAAAACACTCAGAAAGGGCCATGTGGCCCTATCTTTGCCTGAAAAAATAAACGATTATTCATTTAAAAAAATCCTCTCTCTCACAACACAAAATGTAACGTTACGTCATTTTCCACTTTACATTTTATGCAAACAACATTACAACATTTTATTTGAATTCACTGAAACATCACCAGCCACAGATAACCACATTTTCGCATGGATGTAAACAAAATCATATCATAGCCATCTGTTTTGATGTAAAAAAAATGTAAACTTGAAAAAGTTGAAATGATTGACTACAAAATTCAGCAAAAACTTTCACAGGATATTATCCAAACCATAGACTAGGCAACATAAGTAGACTCCTCATCCCATTGTAAATTTTGAAGCTTGTTTTTCGTGTCTAGTTCATGTACGTCCACACTGATCGCTGGGGTAGACAAGATTTGTTTCTGTTATTTTAGGGTTATTTTCATGATTTGTGCTTTACTATATGGTTATATAACTAGGAGACTAGTTATTGCTTATGATTACATCGTTTTATTTGGTTAAATGAGGTTTTAAATGACTGAAATAACAAGAAACAAATTGTAAACAAAACATAACCTCTAGAGTTGGACGTACAGAACTAACAATAAAATTGGCTTCAGCTGTTCCATAGGGATGACAAATCTACTAAGGGAGTATGATTTATCTATGTCCAAACTAAGGCCACACTAAAAAAAACAGGCCGTAATGCTCGTCAAGCATGACGTCACGATAGAAGATGGCAATGACGTAGTTTACCGTTTGTGATCAGCTGCTTGTTTTAATTTTCCCTTGGAAAATAAAAGAAGAAATACCCTTTGTCACAAAAATATTAAACATTACGTCATTGCCGTCTTCTATCGTGACGTCATGCTTGACGAGCATTATGGCCTGTTTTTTTAGTGTGGCCTTGGTCCAAACCCACAAAAGGCACATATAGAGGAAGAGCTTTAAATTGATACCCATTATGCATATAAAAATAATTATTTAGGGATCGATTTGCTGCTTTATGATTGCTTTGAGCCCCTGAGTAAATTATGGCGTACATGATACCACACAAAATAAAATTAGGTGTAAGTTAACTTACCTCTTGTGTTTAATCTTTGCTGATCTAGGCTGCCATTTCCAATAACACCAGAGGAACTTTGTCTTGGAGGGGAGTAATGAAATGTAGGCACTGTGTTACTGTTGGTATCCTGAAGTGGGACATCTCCTACAGAAAAAGACATTCCAATCAATATAGTCGAGTAAATCCATACGACAAGCCTAAAAATGGCTTTAAATTATTTTATTTGTTATTTTGACTGAATTATGTGCATTTACCAGGAAAAAGTCTAAAGAAATCGGAGTTTCGGAAGTCCAAAATTCAAGATGGCATCCAAGATTTTGGTCAAATATTTGTATAGGCCTACCGTAATGTCCTTTCTTACGATTTTAACACTAATACCGGAACCCCGGTATGACAGACCCACGGGAATTTAAAAAAATGAATGTTGGCAACACTGTTTATTTGGGAGATTCTATTCCCCCAATACCTTCCCCCCTTTTCCTCCCCTAACTATTGATATATTGTTTGTTCATTTTGCATGGGTGCCGTGACCTTGACAGGTTGTCTGTTCATAACATGCCCGTCTCAGAACCCCATTGTTAGTGTATTTTAAAGCGGGGTCTCACAGGCCGAGGGTTTCAGTTTGTGTGTTTCTAAGCGGGGTCCGTTATTTTTCAAATGGGGTCTCACAGACCGGGGGTTTCGGTTAACGTCAGCCTAGGTAGGGTTTCGGTATTAGTGTTTAAAAAATGTATGTGTACTTTTTGCTTGAAACAATCATTAATAGGTCTTAAAATAAAAGAACGCAACCAGTTTGGTCTAAATTGGATCATTTTCAGAAGAAAATTTTACAGGAAAAATAGTACAAGGTTTTAGTATTTTTTCAAATTTCTGGACACCATATTGGAAAAAAAAACAATTTCCGACCCTCCAATTTGATTAGACTTCTAGTATATTATTTAACACTTATTGGAAATATAAACCATAAAAACCTTTTAGAGCAATCTTTTTAAGGTTAGGTATGCTTATGTAGTTTTTATTTCATATCTTGACTAATAAGTCATTTATCCATTAAATATATGATTTAAATATTGATCAATGCGTAAGCTAAACAACATGTCTTCCATCAAAACGAAAAAAGTTAATTGGCCATGGGTTCAGGTCTTACCGTGAGACCTTTGGTAATAGCTTTAGCTCCTAGCCCATATGGAACACTTTTACAAAAAGATAATAACTTAGGGATTACCGCCTAACTAATATAAAATATGACCATGAACCATGGGACAACCAAAAAGCATCCTTCAATTAAATTAATTTATTCACGACGTAAACCAGTTTACAAAATGATAACATAATTCAGTACATGCATTTTACAATTAACAAAATGACAAGCTAAAAGCAGGCTTAATGTAACTTAAAAAAACAAACAAACAAATTAATTATCTATATAATTATACCTTCCGCAAAGATTCGTGGCGACTAAAGGTTCAGGACGGTCGGGTGGTGTCCCAGCCCCTAAATTTTACAACTAAAACATTTTACCAACTATGCATTAAGCCCAGTGGGTGACTCATGGTCAAAACCCAGAGCAGTCGAGCAAGGGCTAATTTAGGGACTGGGACACCACCCGACCGGCCTAATCCCTCAGCCGCCACAAATCTTTGCGGAAGGTATAATACGCTACATGAAACTTTGTCAGTTGAACTCCTCCGCCATTTCTTAACCTATTTTATCCATTGACGTCTCATTGGAAAAAGCGTGTTGTGTAGGTGGCAAACTGGCTTTACATTTTTGAAAAAGTCCCTTGGGACCCCAGTGGCTGTTAAAGTTCCCATGTCATCCTTATGAAGAACATAATTGTTTACATTTTGATCAGCTGTATAATTTAATTGCTTATTGTTGTTATTTATTTTTCAATTCAAAGTTTTTAAACTCATCGGAAATTATGATGAATTTTATTTGTTTTTAAATAACTACTTTACTTCTTTGCAATTGCTCGATTTCGAGCAACGTGTTTACTAGTTAACAATTAATACAAGACACACTGAAGAAAATATATAATCGACAATTTTAAAAGAAGTAGGATACTATCCTTTATAATATTATAGGGTAATTTTCTTCTTTATGATTGCTCCAAGCCCCTAGGTACAATAGTCGCATTTAGTATGGACACGCTAGGGCTCAGGCTCAAGGTGAAGGGGGGAGTGGTTTATTACTCATTTCCAAAAACATCTGGCCCACACGGCTCTGGGGTTGTTCAGCTGTCTTTGTGGCTAGGTGTGGTGGAGGGGGTGGGTGAAATGTATACAGGACGGCTAGTAGAGACGAAACCGCACGCCCAGACTGCTTGTGCTTACTGTAAATTATGTACTACGTATCATAAAAAATCAAATCAAGTGTTTAAGTTACCTCTTTTGTTTAATCTTTGCTGATCTAGGCTGCCATTTCCAATAACACCAGAGGAACTTTGTCTTGGATTTGAGTAATGAAATGTAGGCACTGTGTTACTGTTGGTAGCCTGAAGTGGGACATCTCCTACAGAAAGACATTTTATTCAATAAGTTATTCATCCTTCAACTTTAAATATATGATGTAAATATTTAACAATGCCTAGGCTAAACGACCTGTCTTCCAAAGATAAATAACTCTTTTCCTTTCATGAAGGATATGATAAGAATACAACAACTTATTTGTACACAGTTATGAAGGTTGGTTTCATGAAGGCCTATGCTATGACATGTACTGAGACCCAAGAGACATTATTATATGATTGTATAATTTCATTTATCAATTATATAGGCCTAATGGTCTTTTTGTTGGAATGAATATAAAATAAAAAAAATAAACCAGTTTAAACTACAATAAACAATCCCTTCAAACAACATTAATCCATAGTAAGCCTTACACTACATAGGCATTTAAGGTTATTAGAATTGCTATGTGTGTTTGACCCATTGTTTGACCATCAAGTCAGATTATTATTATTATTATTATTATTTATTTGTCATGAGAGCCGAAGCCCCCTGACTGCATACCCGGTACCTATCCGTTAGGACATACCCGGGCCCCATGATGTAGGCCGAAGCTTACGCATCAACCTTTAGCACATCATGGGCGGATGACTTAAGGTCATCAGGCTCGCCGGCTGCCGAAGCAGACCCTTCGGAAGGAGGGTTGCCCCTCAATCCTAACCAGGGATTCCGGCTGCTTGTTTAAGCGTCACTCCACCTGGGTTCCACTAGGTCAGGACCTAGAGGTCCATGGTAGAGCGCCCTGACGCATTTAGTACAAGCAACACTCGGGACCTATCTAATCCCTGACAGGCAGAACCCGCCATCGATAGCCAGGAGGAAGGGGACCAACCTCCCATTTACACCACTACCCGATCGAGGCCTTACCCATTGCTGGGAAACCAGAGATAACCAGAGCGATAGATCCCCAGATACCCCTGGCGGGCTCGGACCCAGCACCCGATCTACTTCGTTTGCCCGTCAGACCCAACATCACTGCCAGGCCATCAGGGTTTCCCAAAAGGAGGCAGGTATAGAAGTGGGACCCACCCGGATGAACCTATCCACCAGAGGTGGCGACACCCTTGAATCAATTGAGGTTCCGGGAAGAACCCCCCACACTCAAGATAACCATACCGTCCGTGCTCAGATACCAGATACCGGTAAATGCCTAATCTATAGTCCTCGCCACCCTAAGTTGAGGCAGCCCAAGGCCGCACGGCGTATATCTAGTGCGGCCTTTGGCTGCCTCAACTTAGGGTGGCGAGGACTATAGGATGTGTTGTTTCCCCGGGCATGAGAGATGAGATAGCTGAGGATCAAGGATTCATAGTGTCATCTCAGTTGTTGCTTCTGATGCACATTGAACAACTCAATAGAAGTCTACACCTTATATAGACAAGCTGGTAGGATAGGCTCACAGAAAATAAAAGGTGAAGGATGGAAATGATGGAATCAGTTGATTCTCTTAGTGGTGCCTCTGTCATTAGGAATTTTCGGAAAAAAAATAGACTTAACTTAGCCTAACCAAAACATTGGAAGTAAGCCAACAATACCTAGGCTATTAACCTACAACCCATACCTAGCACAGAAAACACACTACTATTACCCAGAATTCTCACCGCGTGTTTAACAGTGTTAAGTACTCGGAGAGGGCTAGGCCTGTCAATTCGTGGGCAGCGCCACCAGCATACAATGCACCAATGCTGGTGGCGCTGCCTACGAATTGACAGGCAAAGCTCTCTCCGAGTACTTAACACTGTTTACTACGTGGTTAGCATTCTGGGTAATAGTAGCCCAGTATGTTTTCTGTGCCCATAGGCTCCACTTCTCAATCATCTCCATTCATACCGGTACATACTTTGCTTTAAATACCTAGCTTCGTATGGTCACCATTTCATTAAAAAGTATTAAAGTAGGATACATAGAGGCTCCCAATATAAGTGTAGACTAGGTAGCCTATCTTAATCGTTTGGGTTAGGCCTGGTCCTTGATCATTTATCTTAAAATCTTTTATAACAAGGAGTGTTTAAACAAATAAGCTAGGCTAGTTTAGATAAGTTAGTAACTTAGTTAGCCAGTAGGCCTATTTGTTGAACATCCTTACACTACTCAAAGAGAATGTCCATCTGTTTGACAAAAGAGAGCTTTACCACCGATATGGCACTCGGCAAGCCCTACACCTCGATTTGCCACAATGTCATCTCACACGCACCTAAAGAGCTGTCCCTGCAATGCCAAAGGCTTTTTCACACCCTACCAGAGAAGGTGCAGGAGACGAGCACAAAATCTTTTGAAACGGCTATTCGTATATCTCGCTAGAGGGGCTGAGTAATGAGCTCCTAGAAGTTGCGTGAGAGACCCGCCCACACATTGTATTATGCCACAGCTCTCTTTTGTATGTATAATATGTAAATAGTAGGGAGTGTTTTAATGTATATTCGACTCAATCTATCTAACATTGTCGGTCACCGATTAACACTAATACCGAAACCCCGGTCTGACAAGCCCACGGGAATAATCACAAACGCATTACAGTATGGCAACACTGTTTACTTGGGAGATTCCATTCCCCCAATACCTTCCCCCCTTTTCCTCCCCTACCTATTGATATATCGTTTGTTCATTTCGCATGGGTGCCATGACCTTGACAGGATGTCTGTTCATAACATGCCCGTCTCAGACGCCCAGCGTTAGTGTATTTTAAAGTGGGGTTTCACAGGCTGAGGGTTTCGGTTTGTGTGTATCTAAGCGGGGTCCATTATTTTTCAAATGGGGTCTCACAGACCGGGGGTTTCAGTTAACGTCAGCCTAGGTGGGGTTTCGGTATTAGTGTTAAGGAATCAAGTAATTTCAGGTTAGGTTTTACTATGGTGTACTGTTAGTAGGCCCTAAGTTTAATCGTTATCCAGGATAGCAATATTAAAGTCAGGTTTACACTGGAGGTTTGGAACACCTGTAAGTTACATAAGTTACAACAAATGTTCCTAACAAATTAAGAAACACATGCGGTACTTTTTGGAAAGAAACATTTTATGTTCGGAACAGTTTTTTTGGTGTTTAGACCTAGGCCTACATCATTGTTTCCAGCCAGAAGTCGGTAAAGATCAATGGTTGTTCCATCCATTTAGAACCCAAGTTTTATTATTTCGACGTTGTTTACATCAGTTCCTTTCTACCCGCCGCGCCCTCCACACGCGTCATTAATTCCGTTCTCAAAAAAATTACAGTTAGCCTGGACATGACTTTCTTAAAAAGTAGGCAAACTGGATATCCTCAAAAAGTTGTTTAACTCCCGCCCGTCTGCAGTTCTCCTGATAAGGAGGTTGATATCATTCCTATTTATATCATCCAGCAGGTTAGTTCCACTGTATTTTGATCTAAATTGCAATGACAGTCTCACCAAGTAGGCTACTGTCTCGGTCTCCGGTTTAGATAAGGTCGCACAGGTTGCCGCGGCCAGTTAAAAACATTCTCTCATGTCCTATATCCTGTTTTGTATAGGCCTATCTGTGAATAAATTATCTTTGAATTGCATTGTATTAATCTAACTTAACTTAGTGACCTCGTGTCCTTGGGAACAGTGAATTTTATGTTTCAAACCAAATCAAAGAAGCTGCACTATCTACCTTATAGCATAGACTAACCAACACAAGTAGACTTCTCATCCCATTGTAAATTTTGAAGCACGTTTTTCGTGTCTAGTTCATGTACGTGACACATGGGCGTTAGTGTCGACGAAACTTTGTTTCTATTATTTTAGGGTTAATTTCTTGATTTGTGCTTTAATGTTTGGTTATATAACTAGGGGACAAGTTATTGTTTATGATTAGATCGTATTATTTGGTTAAACAAGGTTTTAAATGGCTGTAATAACGGGAAACAAATTGTAAACAAAACACGACCTCTTACATAAACCGTACAGAACTAACAATAAAATTGTCTTCAGCTGTTCCATAAGGATGAGAAATCTACTAAGGGAGTAGGGCCTATGTTTTATCTATGCTTATAGTAACTTATTTTAAGGGTAATTCTGAGCAATTAGGCTACTTGGTCAACCCCAAACTTTTTCATACTTTACTGTGGTCATAAGGATGTTCTCAGAAAATAAGAAACATATAATTCAAGCCCCGCAAGGCCATCGTACAGGTTGCCGAGCGATAAGAAGGTTCAAAGTCCACGCGATAACAGTGGCTTGCGGGAGACGCGCGGAAGGTCAGTTGTGACAGTACCGTTATGTTATGTTAGGTTAGGTTAATTGATAACCTGAATCGGGGTTATGATATGTACATGTTATATCTAGGTTTGGCTTCCGAGCGTCATAACCTAACCCAACCTAACCTAACCTTGCGGGGCTTGAATTATATGTTTCTTATTTTCTGAGAACATCCTTATGACCGTAAGTTAGTAAATATGAAAAAGTTTGGGGTTGACCAAGTAGGCCTAATTGCCCAGAATTACCATTTTAAGCTTTTGTTAACTTACAAACGAATTAAGAAACACATCTTAAGTACCGTACTTAGTAAGTTAACAATAAGTCTTAAAAAAAAATTTTGTTCCAAACTCCAGTGTAAGGAAACGCCGGTAAATACTGACAAGGATCCTCAATAAGCATAGATTAACTTAAGTTTATGATAAATTTTGGTTAAAGGTAAATTATAGTTCACTTAACATAAGTTATGCCTATTCAATGCGAATTAGGAATTACCTACCTCTGGAATGGACGTTGTGAGTACTCTTGCCTGTATCATGAAGTATTGTTTTATGATAATCCAAATTGTGTGTCTTTATGTTAAGAACACTATAAATATATTCTAAGACATGAATGTCCGTTGGTTGTAGCTCACACCTTTTTTCTAAAACTTTCAAAAGAGTATGAAGATCATTGATATACTCAAAAGTTCTAGGGGAATTTATCACACCCTCATATTTTCTTTTGATAGTTGTAAGAATATTCTGGTTTTCACATCTCTCGCTTGCGGACTGGTATGTTGATAAGGCCAAAAGCTTACAACTTTCATAACTAGCAAGTTGTGATTCCTCGGTGTTTTCCATGACTTTAAAAAAGCTTTAACTCATATCAGTTGGTCCTGGTTGTAACCTATCAGGCCTTGTTTATGCTCGGCCCTCTCATATACTTGCTAATTTGCATAAACTTAGAGTTGCCTTACTTCAGGTTTTGTTTAAATTATTAATACAGTAACTGAGTTTAATTGATAAGAACAAGAATAACATTTAATCTGCATCAAACCTTGGTCCAAGATAGGGTACAATAGCCTAATCTTTTAAAACTGACTCAAATATCACTGATTTATTACAAACTATATAAAACAATTTATTAACGAATAACAATGCATTAAGTTGAATCATATTCAACTACAGTTTGGCTAAAATAAAATTGACCGTAAAGAATAGATACGGAACATTAAAAAATAACACAATTTTAAAACATAAATAAAACAAAACAATGCACTTGGCGTGTCTGTGTGACTTGTCTGTCTGTTGACTCGTTGACTGTTGACTCTGACTGTTGTCATTGTCAAGTCAAGTCGTCTTCTTGTTGTTGTGACGTGTACGTACAAAAATATTTACTTTTTTTGCGATCACTGATCACGTGGTTCCCTTTTTCGGTTCTCATTGCCTATAAGGTGGTCTGGGAATTTTTATCCATGAAACTACGATGTCTTTATGGTTGTCCATTTGCTTTTATTCTCCTCAGTCTTTATCCTTTTAGCAAAATTTCCATGTAGGGAATAACGTGGGTCTATAGCCGGATTAAAGCTACGCGCGCACTACGGCGGCACGGCACGGACGGGCGGTACGGCACGGACGGCATTTTTAAGAGGGGGTGCGCGCACTAGGGCGGCACGGCACGGACGGACGGGACGGGACATCCGCACATCCGCAATTTAGGACAGTTGACAGTCTGTGAGCTAAAAATTGTGAGTAAAGATGTATGTAGATCATCCATGAATTCCGAAAGTGGTGATAATAGGTTTTAATTTTAGCAGAGGAAGAGGTGACAAGAAGGTGCAAGCAAAGATTTTAGATACACCACATAAACAGGAAAAGACTAAGTTTTGGAGAGTTCCACACCTTGTTTCCTGATCTTGTAGAAGGATTATGTGTAACCTAACCTAACCTAAGGTGTGATTGTAGAAGGATTATCATAATAGATCATATTTCTGTCCATATATTGTAACGCCGGACGTTATTACAATATTCCGGATGTCGCATGTTGTACAGTTTGGGGTTTTTCTCAACGAGAAAAATCAACTTACTAACATCTATGTTTACAACACATGAAAACACTGCTACTTTGACAGAGATCAGTTGAGAATGGTGGATGTCCGGTGCCGCCCGCCCGGTCGGTGTGCAGTGCTCCCGGTCGGTACGGGCGGTACGGGCGTCACGGCAGCTCGGAAATGTCCTGGAGTTTTGTCACCCGGACTTTTTAACAAACGGCGAAAGTTGCCGAACGTCCGTTGCCGGCCGTACCGCTGTAGTGGGCGCACTCATATGACATTCAATGTTATTAACTTTTAAAAATTGCCGTGCCGCCCGCCCGTCCGTGCCGTTCCGCCGTAGTGCGCGCGCAGCTTTAACAATGCCATTGAAAATGACTATTTTTTTGACGGAGCCTTGCTGGAAAGATACAGTTACAAGAAGGACCTTGGTGTCACTATTGACTTCTCCTTTGAGTTTGGCCAGCACTTCAGCAACATATGTGTCGAACCATGTGTCGAACAGTAAATGATGGGCTAGACTCCGTAGCAACAACCATCTTGTACAAGTCCCTTGTCCTTTTAGACCAGCTAGAGTCAGTCCAGAGACGATTCATCAGGTTCCTGGACCGCCAAGATTGGTTCAATTACTTAGAAGTCCCTATCGATATTGTTTCAGAATCCTACGGGTTGCAGGTTGCAGCCATTAGCATGCAGAAGACAAGTGACAAGTGGCAGATGTGTCCTCCATCTTCAAGCTCTTCAACAGCAAGGTAGTCTGCCCGTACCTCCTGAAGAAGATCAATATCAGGGTGCCCACTAGGACTAGGGAGCACTCGGAACAGCGTTTTTGTGAGCTGGAACATGCAGAAAGAAGCTACCTCCAGCACAGTACTATTGCTGTTGCAGGCTCATACGATCCGGCAATCAGTAGTCCTTAAACCTCTTCTGTGACAGCCTTGCAGCCATCAGACGCTCGGCCACCGGGTCCTATAGCCCCCTGCCCCCGAAGCCTAGAGTGCCACTTATTGTTATTTGTTAATTTTCATACCTTAATTTTTGTATTTTTGTTAATTTTGCTATGGTTGAGTTACTTTGTTAATGTTATCTTCGGATATTTCCATTGTTGTTGTTTTCATAGATGTCATGTTTCATCGCTGTATTGTTTCTCTAGTCATGTTCAGATTTAATTTTCCTGTCACTGATGTTGTTTTTGAAATGTTGAATCAATTTAGATTTAAGTTTTTTGGTAGCATTGTTATTACATGGTCATTATATATATATCCATTTGTAAATTAATAATCTTGCCGTTGGAACAAATATAAATAAACTAGGTAATAAATGCAATGGTCATATTATGCATATCAACATTGTAAATTGGTGATTTATGCTGTTGGATTAAATAAATAAAAATAAATAAATAAGATGTTACCGTTACCGTAGGTCTCATTGACCTGGACCTGGGACGGATTTACTTTTTGTTTTGAGGTCCCTAGAGGCCAAAAACACCATCAGTTCAAATTCTTCTATATATTCATGTGTCTGTTAGCACGAAAATTCGAGCAAAAATGATCCGATATTGATGAGGTTTGGTATAAAAGTGTAAACCTAAATTTATTCGAACGAGTTCGCGAACCAGCATGTTCGGGCTATTTAGGAACGAGGGTTTATATGGTAAAAATGGGTTTTTACAGTTTTTGACCCTAAACATATACAGGGTGGAACGAAGTTAGTGTTAAAAATTTGTATGTGTTAAAACTACTTAGTATTGGTGACAAAATGGCACTAATTTAGATTTCCACACCCTTCCAGGTAGGGAATAACAGACAAATTAAGATTTTTTCAAAATATTTGTATTTTCTTACATAAAACGGCCATAAGTACACAACATTTTTTTTAGATTTTATTGTAATTTTCAGAATCCTCCAATAGTAATAGTACAGAGTCACTGAGATGAAACATCTATTTAAAACGGAAGTTTAAATTTGGTGATATTTGAGAAAATTGCAAAAAAACCTGTACATACGTTTTTGACCAACCACCATTTTATGAGTGTTTTAGAATGGAAGTGCGATTAATAGACGTTTTTATTTTTGACATTAAAAAAAAAGAGACTAGTTTAGGCAGGAGTTGCAGCGTTTTACGCCTCAGAAAAAATGGCTTGTGGTATACATTTTGAATTCTGTAGCTCATAAAAGAGTAAGTTTAGATAGAAAATGCAAAGTATAAATAAGTTTGCTAGGTTAGTTTTTGGAAGGAATTAATTGTTTTGTTTAGGCTTCTTAAAATATTATCATTATATGATTGCAAGAAAATCATCTTGAGGAAGGATATGTCTCAAAATTAGCATTTTATATATTGACCCTTATAATTTCTTCTCATTCTCATGATTTGATTATAATAATTTGAAAGTCTAAAATATTATAGCTTTGATAGCCACATATGCCATCACTTTTAAATTGGTACATTTTTAATATACGCTCTTTATTTACTGCTTCATTGAACAGTTTTGGTTTTCAATATAGTCTTTGCACCATATTTCCATTATGCTGCATTTTTTTTGTAAATTTTCCTAGAAAATAACATTGGATTTTCAATGCTTGTGATCTCAAACAATACGTTATACCAGTCCCTCCTACGGTTGGTTAAATATGGCCAGTGGGGCTGGTCCTTACCACTGAATAAGTAACACGGGCAGGTTTGAAGCTGCGGAGGAGGCTGGAGACGAGCCTGGGCCCTGAGGAAGGTGCGGACCTCTTCATAAGCACCAGGTAACTTACCCCAAAGGAAGAACGGGAATCCGGCAGCAAGGAGGCAGGGAAGAGGAGGTTTCTGAAAGTGGCATAAGCCATAACTTAGGTATTATTTTTCTTTCCTATTAATTAACGAAGTCAAAGTCAACAAACAGAAAATATACAAGAAAGCCAAATTCACAAGTTTGGGGGGAGGGATGAATTTACCTTATTTTTTTAATTTGTGAAGTTATAAAAAAGTTTTTAACTTTAGTTACTTATGAAGTTGCATTTAAAAATTGCAACTTTTACAATTTATTAAGTAATTCAAATTTCGTACAAACACGAAAGCCAATAACATAATTAAATAATGCAAAAAGTAGGCGTATCGGTAGTTTATATACTTTAATACTTTATGGTGGCTTAAAACTAGTTTAAAAATAATTAAGGCAAACCTTGAAGCAGTTTTCCGTAGGCCTATACAGTATAGACTCATCGCTTTCACTAACTCAGCAGTTCGAAACATTCGACCGACTTTTGCAGAGTTGAAAGCAAAATGTCATTAAGTCCAAAGCCTGTCAGGATCATACGATGAAAAACAGACATTGGTAACATTTTTACGAAAAATATTCTGTATTTGTTCTTGTTCTTATTGCTTTAACTCTATTAATTTTCTTTATTTAGAATTCCAAAAGAAAATCCAGACCAAGCATACAAATTAAGAAAATATAATAACGTTTTCAAAGCATAACTTTTTTGTTGGCAATATGGCTACCAGCCTAGAACTTTTAAAGTGGAACTCAGCTATTATGTATACCATAATGTGGAAAATATACCGGGACATTTTGGGAAAGGGGCATGCGCTCAATAAAAGAAAAAACATTGTCTTGTATTACAGCGTATCAAGAAATTTACAAACCAAATTTAAATTGGTGAGTTATTGGATAAAAACACAACTTAACATTATGACAAAATCCTTAGAATATAAAGGAATCAACGAAAGTAACAAAATTAAATATAATGAATATTTAAGCTGCGAAACAACTCAGGTGTCAAAGAAAAAGCCGGGTTAGCTCAGCGAAGTTGAACGTTGAACGAAGAGTTGTGGATGGCGGAGGTAAAGGCTTTAGCAGGCTTCCGCTTGGTTGAAGCTCATACATTAAACATGTGTCGAGCTCTCCTGGTAGAGTTAGGAATCTTTCAACCTGAACTCTGCTGAAGCTAAAACGTAGCGCAATTTATCTAGAACTAGCTGTAACCCGCGGGCTTTGCCCCGTTTCACTTCTTAATTTTCAAGATGATCTCGTTCGCATGGCTCAATCATGTCCTGGTTGAAGTTCGTTCGCTACGCTCACTCACCTTTAGGTTGGAGCTCGTTCGCTACGCTCACTCATCTTTAGGTTGGAGCTCGTTCGCTGCGCTCACTTGCCTTCAGGTTAGCTCGTTCGCTACGCTCACTCGCCTTGAGGTTGAAGTTCGTTCGCTACGCTCACTCACCTTTTGGTTACAAATTAGCTGTTGTCATAAATGTAAA